AAAGGGATAGAAATGGTATTATGGTTTTGTGAGATTGTGGGGTCAGATTTCACCAAACGTCAGACTAATGAATCCTTAATCTCTTGTTACATACATTGCTTAGTCAACCCATAAGTTTACTCAAACCTAATCCCTTAGAGCAAGAGCCTAGGTGCGGATATTGAATATCAATTCCTTGAGTACCCAATATCTACACCCGCATTACGGGCTAGGGTTTAAGACTACTAATGGGCCAAGCTCCATTCTTATATACATTTCCCACTAGGCAATTGTTTCAGAGCTAGTTTCAAAGGTTATTTTCCAATACCCAAAAGAACCTATATCATGTAATGAGAATCAATCCAAAGCAAGCATTAAGAATACAAACATACACAACAATGAATGAACAACATATATATATATATCATTAAAACGTAAGGATTACATTAGAATTCGTTGGTTACATCTAACCCCACAAAAAATGGGTAGAACCACTCAAACAATGAGGGTAAATACAAAATAGAGATGAAGGGAGAAATGAAGAACCGAAGGAAAGACCCACACACGAACGGCTCCAAGATCCGGGAATCCCTTCCACAGCTCCTAAAACGCGCCCAATGTGTGAATGAGGGAGAAACCCTCGAAAATGGCTTCAAATACGAGCTTGGGGAGATTAGATTAGGGTTTCGCGCCCGGCACAGGGCCTTCCAGAGAAGTTGAGCACTATCTGCCTCAAGACACGCCCGGCGTAATTTCCTTTTGTGCCCGGCACAATGTCTTCCAGAGAGTTTGAGCTACTCTCTGCCTCGATCACGCCCGGCGCGTGTAGTCTCGCGCCCGGCGCAGGTGTCACTTGCAGAGGTAAGACACTCTGTTCTGCTCAAGCCTGACGCGGGTCATATTGCGCCCGGCGCAGCCACTCTGCTCTACTCCTTAGCTCCTTAGATTTCCAATCCTAAGGGTCTTCAATCCTCAATTCTCTAGCTCAATACCTGCACAAAAAATGAGGTATATTAAGGTATTGTTAGCTAAATTCTGGGTTAGATATATCTGCACAAAAATTAATCAAAAAAGGGAACAATTATATTTGTTGCGGGTTGCATCAATTGTCCCGTGGCGGAGGCTAGGTGGGCCAAGTCACTGTCGAATCATGGCGCTTGGGCTGCTGCGCTCTTAAGTAAAAAGAGTTGCGCCCTGATTATAAGCTATAGCTTTTGACCTAGTGGTAAGCGCTCGATCCAACAATATTGCAATGGTTCAGAGGATGAGTGGATTTGTTCAATAAGTCTCAACCAAAAAGAGGTATAATTGAGACTTAATAGTCACGCCAAGCGTGAGTTGGATGATTAGAAGTTACATTTTAATGATGTTTTATAGTTGATTGATGACAGATGAGTTGTATGATGTAAAGTTGATTGTTTAAGTTGTTTGGCAACTTATTTGTAATGATGTTGTAAGTTGAACATGTTGTGAAGTTACGAGTTGTTTCATGTTGTCTTTAGTTAATTTCTGATGGTGTTTAATTACAGTTGTGAATCTTACAAATATGTATTTTATTTGCATTGATTAAGTATATGTTGTGAAGTCAAAAGTTTAACATTGTATATGTTGTATGTTGTAAAGCTGATAAGTTGAATGTTGAAATATGAATAAGTTGTTAAGTTGATAAGCTACAAGTATGTGGGTTAGATACATATCTTAGCTATAATTCATAAAAATTAGAGGAGAGTTAAAAATGTTTTTTAACTTAATATCCCATTGTGCGAATATACGTTATAAAGCTTTGAGAGTCCAGTTGAAACCCTTTAATAGGTAAGTTGGCCTCTGAATGAGTAAGTTATTTTTCAGTTGTCTCCTTTAAGTTTTATGTGGTATCCGTGTGTGGAAAAGGTTGAAACACATGTGTATAAAGTGACCAATTGAGTAAAGTACCAAGTTGGAAACTCAGTCTCTAACATAATATCGGGGTTGTGATATTTGGAGGGTAGTCGATGGACTAATCTCATAGATGACTTAGTGTTGTAAACTAATGTCGTGATAAATTCATACCTAAACTATTTTATCCTGACATAGTACCATACTTTCTTTCTTGAGTGACAAAACTTGAGAAATCAATTTAACTTATGTTAGTCATTATTTTTAGCCTTGTGTTAGCTGTTGTTTCTGACCTCAATATTAGTCATTGTTTATGGTATTATATCAATCATTTTGATTCGATAGGATCAAACCACTTAAATTGTTCATCCTAAGATGCAAGAGATGTTCGTAGTTGATGTGCATGATAACACATTAAATAAGATGTAAAAGTTGTTATGTTGTACATGATGTAGGATGTTAAGTTGTTACGGTGAAAACTGTTGTTTTATTATAAGCTTTATATTTATATTTGCTGTGATGATGTTCATAAGATATTATGTTGAATTCTTCTCACTAACTTATCCTGTGTTTGTCTTGTGGTTAAACTATGATGATCATACTTAATATGAGAATAAAACAAGATTAGTAGGATGCCTTATGCAATTAAAGACTAGTCACGCTAGAGGTGGCTAGATTTTGTTGATAGCTACTTGAAGTAGTTGTGTATTATATAGATGTCGACCAATATTTAGGTTTATTTTACTCTTAATACTATATTTTATATAATTAGTGTGTATAGGATATTAGTTATTGACCGTATTATAAACTCTGTTTCTGATGCATGTTGTCTAGTCTTCTGCTATGTAATAATTATTTAATAATAAGTGTAATAACCTGTCGAAACATTACAAAAAATTGCAACATTTTTTTTATAAATAAGTTAAAGTATTAATTACAAGAGAAGAAATTAATTTATATTTTAATTAGATATTTTTAATTAAAAATTTCATCAAATCTTATAATTTCAAAGAAATTTTGTAAAAGATAAATTTAACTAATTCAATCGTTAAATAGTGTAATACTATACTTAAGATCATATATATCAAATTTTACATGATTCTAAAATTATTTAATAATTTATCATATTATTTTATATTAATTTATAATATAATATTTAAAATATGTCAAATATCTATTTTTGAATTATATATTTAAAAGTTCATAAATTATGTAAAATTTGATATTCATAATTTTAAGTATAATATTACATAATTTAATGATTAATTAATCAAATTTTTATTATATAAAAATTATTAAAAATATAAAATTTAGTATAAATGTTAAATTTTCGCGTAATCTCACACATATGAAACTTTGAAATATTATCACCGTAATTTAGTCAAATAGTGCCCGTGGAAGAGACATATGTATTTTCAAAAATAAAATCCAAATCAAAGTTTTTAAAAAATAAATAAATAACGTTTTTCTTCCTTCCTTCGTATATTAAAAGCCATGTTGGACCACACATCTAACATATAACTTTCTTTTAAAAAAAACTTTCATTTTCTTCCAAAATAGTAATAGAATATTTGATAGTATCATGGGGGTTATCTTAACGTGGTGCATAACTACAAACAGGAAACAAATGGAGCAAAATCAATAGAGAACCATTTTCAGAATAATTAGCTAAATATAACCAATGAAACTTTTTATTTATTTTAATGGAAAAATCATTATCCATCCATCTGTATTTTCATTTTTTATTGATATAAAACAAATAATGACAACAACAACTATATAAAGCCGTTTACGAGAACAAGTGTCTTGCTCTGTCGTAGGTTTTTATCAATTTTCTAACATTCTTTTTATTTTTTATAAGAATGAAGTTAGAATAATTATTTATATTTTTATATGAAATTTAATTTATAATATTTGATGAATTAATTATTTTTTAATTAAAGTATAATTTTTTAGTTTTTTGAAATATATTAATTATATTTTTTTAAAAATATACATTCTAATTGATTAAAAAAAATACAATATTAATTATGAGGAAAGTAATATATAATATATACTCTAATTGATTAAAAAGAGGTGAATATTAATTAAGAAAATAAAATAATATAAGGATAATTTTAGAAAAAATAAATATTTTTTTAATCTATTAGATTAACTAGACAAATTACATCTAAATACAATTAGAATATTTATTTATAATAATACTAATGATGATGAGTTGTTAATATGGAAACTTTAAGTAATTAAAATTTTAAAAATTGAGAAAAATTATTTATTGTAGTAATGTTTTCTTAATAAAAAAATTTATCATCAAAAAATAAAAAAAGATATTGAACCCCTTTAAATAAATTTCAAAAGTATAAAATGTCTTTTATACCTTAAATTTTCGATAAAAATTAATTTTAATATTTATATTTTAAAAATAGCTATTTTAGTTATCGCATATTTTATAATTAGAGAATTTTGTGGTTTGTATTATTTAAAAATAATTAATAAATGGGCCATACACAATTGTTTATTAGATGATTTTTAAAAAAAACTATTTATATTATATTATAAAAATACGAAAATTAAAATTACCTTTCTAAAATATATTTTCTCGCATTCTTTTTACAAGATGTAATTATCTAATTTATTATGATCAGTAGGAAATCAAGAGAAATATTTTTAGTCTTTTTAATTAAATGATGAGTAATTTTCCCTTCTTGTAGTGTAAAGTTATTTTTATAATAACCAATTAAAAGATAAAATTGAAAACAAATTATGGTCAACAAAAGCTAACATCTCTTTTATTATTAATAAGTATAGATTAAAGAAATTTGTTAATTTAATTAATATCATTAAATTTATCTTTTATTTGTTGGTAAAATTACCTCTATTATTAATGAAATATTTATTTCTACTAAGTATTTATTGAATTAAAAAAATAATTTTACTTAAAAGATTTCTCTCGTAAAAAAGAATTAATGCAAGAAAATTTTAGATTGATTCTTACATAGAAAGTGCCGATAATCTTGAATTGACCGATAGTTAAGATTTTATTTTTTTGACCAATAACTAAGATAGTACTTAAAAGTTAAAGTACATTTTACCTGGATGAAGATGATAACACAAATAATTAATATAGTTGGAAATAAGAGAAATAAGATAGTGTGACAAGAAAGGTGGTTTTTTTTGGTGTTGAATGCAAATGAAAGTGAAAACAGAGTAAAGAAGAGAAGGGTGGTGCCGTGTCTCTGTTTTTGGCGCTTTCATTCATTCGTAACTCACACAAACACACATCCAACCAAACCTTCGTTTTAGCATTTCTCGTCTTCCTTCGAAACTCTGAAATTGGGATGTAAAATATTTTCCCTTTTCTCTGCTCTTTTTCATCACCATTCACTTCTTCTGAAAAATATGGGTTTGCTCAGCAGTTTCTTGGGGCTTTTTGGTTTTGTTGTTGGAATACCTCTTGGCCTCTTGGTCGGTTTCTTTATCTTTGTATACTCCGAACCCAAACATGTCAAGGTTTTCTTCTCTGACTCTTCTTGCATGTTCCAATTCTCAACACTGATACATGCATTTCCTCTCATCACTTTTTTGGGAACTGGTGGTGGGGCTGGCAAATGGCACCCCTTTTGCGTTTTAAATTCTGGGTGATCTTCAAAATCTGATTTTTTTTTTCTTTCAATGTTGCAGGATCCTGTTGTTAGGCCAATCAGTGAATTGGGCCCAAGTGCTTTGCTGGAACTTCTACCCGAGATTCCTCTGTGGGTGAAGACGCCAGATTATGAACGAGTAAGTTTTCCGAATTGTGATACAATCTTGTTTTTTGGTTTTTAAGGTTTATGATGGTGATGGCGTTACTGTGTTATTGACATTGCATGTTCTTCAGGTTGATTGGTTGAACAAGTTTTTGTTGGATATGTGGCCTTTCCTTGACACGGTATTTCAGTGATTCCGAATGGATGTGTTTGTGGTCTTGTAATTGTTGGATGATTCTTCACTGTTGTTTCGTTTTGATGTGTAGGCTATTTGTAAGATTATAAGAAGCACGGCAGAACCAATATTTGCTGAATATATTGGCAAGTATCAGATCAAAGGGATTGAGTTTGATAAGTTAAGCCTTGGTACTCTTCCTCCTACTATCTGTGGTAAGTCTTTTCCCAAATCATCCGATCCCTTTGCAGACAAGTATTTTATCCAAACTTTTGTCCAGCAAATACAAATGTTTGTCATATAATCTGGAATTTCACTATCCTGAATAAAATTTCATATGGTTAGTTTAAATGATTTTCACCCTGGACAGTTTTAGTGAATCCTTTTAAAGAAACGGGTACACATACAGATTGACATTAATGTGTTGGTTTTGCCAATAAGAAGAGTACCGGGGCTAATCTGTTCTTGGACAAAACAGAGAAGGTTGTGTTGAATCATGGAGTTTTTTAGGTAGTAGTTATAGTCTTCTTTTGCATTTTGGGTGCTAGAATGAACATATGAGTTGAGTGAAAATACTGGGTGATTGATTTCACTAGGAATAGCAAGGTGAATCATACTCTTGGCTCCAATAATAAATCATAGTTGTCATTGTAATTTCACTAATAACTCACTGTCTTTTGCATAAAATGAATGATTAAGGATGAACCCTTTGGAAGTTTCAAGTACCAATGTACTTCAAAAAATATAGTTTACTTGAATAGTTCTGATGATAAAAACAGCATTGCAGAAGTGTTTTTTTCATTCATCCTCATCTCATTCCTCAAAGGTCAATTTACTTTATCAAGTTTGACCAACACTTTATCTGAGCCTTTATCATCTGATAGGTCTAGTATTATATCTGATTTTTTTTAAACTGTCCACGTGGTAATTCTGCAGGTATGAAAGTTTTAGAAACAAATGAAAAGGAATTGGTCATGGAACAAGTTATCAAATGGGCTGGCAATCCAAACATAGTGTTGAACTTGTATGTGTCATCGTTGAAGATCACTGTTCAGGTCAGATAAGCCTTGGCACAATCCTAAATGGTAAATGTTTTTTAAGATCTTTCAAAATGATGCTTTCCGCCTGGGAATTCATTTTGATTCTTTGCAGTTGGTAGACTTACAAATATTTGCATCACCACGGATAACTTTAAGACCTTTGGTGCCTACATTTCCATGTTTTGCAAATATTGTGGTATCTTTGATGGAAAAGGTAAAGAAATACTGCACTCAAGGTTAATTTCATTTCTTGCCTTTTCTAATATTACAAGTCAGATGAAATTCTTTCTTATGTGATAATTATGTTTAATATCCAGCCTCATGTGGATTTTGGGATGAGAGTATCAGGAGGGGACATCATGTCAATACCTGGTCTCTATAGATTTGTACAGGTGCTGTCTTTTTTATTTTGGATTGGAATTTTGTAGTAGTAAAATTACTTGTAAATTAAACATCCTATTTGTATTTTTTCCTTTTAATTCATGGTATTGGGTTAATCACTACAAATAGAGGGTAATTCTTGGAACTTGCTCGCTTTAGCTTGTGCATAATCAAGTACTCCAATGCACAATTAATCTTCAGTTATTTAATGGACTGTTGGTTGTTACTTTCTTGCCATCGTAGTTTTCTTCTCTGCACTTTCAATTGCCATGGCATTTCAAATTTAATAAGAGTTCAAGAACTAACAATTATAGTTGCATACAGGAAACAATAAAAAGACAAGTGGCAAACCTCTATCTATGGCCTCAAACCCTGGAAATTCCTATTCTTGATGAATCAACGTAAGTTTATATGAAATGATAGAGTCTATATGCTCAGAATATTCATTCCATTCTGGTCTATAAGCTTAAAAAAAAATTATCCTGCCTTTTAAAAAATATATATAAATCGAAAATGCTTTTTGATCTTATCTAAAGTTGAAGGATAATAACATGTTTTAAAGTGCTTATAAAAGGATAATACCATGTTAATTTTTTCAGTGGTCTACAGTTGAAGAAATTTCACAAACCTGCTACCTGATATCTTCTTACTAGAATTATCAACTATGTTACTATTTAAAACATGATCTGATTATTGTTAGAATGTTTCTTCTATCAAGAACTTGAGCTTCTGAAAATGATTCCTGCCTGATACTTTTTCAAATCTTCTATAGGGTTGCAATAAAGAAGCCCGTGGGGATATTACATGTGAATGTGGTTCGTGCACATAAGCTTTTAAAGATGGATTTTTTGGGAACTTCTGATCCTTATGTTAAACTAAGCCTGACTGGAGACAAATTTCCAGCAAAGAAAACCACTATCAAGAGAAAGAATTTGAATCCCGAGTGGAATGAGAAGTTCAAGCTTGTTGTAAAGGACCCTCAATCTCAAGTTCTCCAATTACAAGTTTATGACTGGGACAAGGTTTTCCTTATCTTTCTTCATGTTTTTTGTTCAATTTTGGAAGAAAATCATAACAGAAATTTTAGCTTTAGTTGCCACCGTTGACTCAAGTCTACACACACTATACTTCAGAGCTTCATTTTGCGTTTGAGCATTTTTTGGTCACCAATGAAGCCGAAATGTCCATTTCTTTTAAAGTTTCATCAAGAAAATGGAAAACTATTTTAAGTTAATTATTTGTACCTAAGCAATTATAACTAATTGGCGGCACTTACCTCTGAGATGGGACGGTAACCATAAATGATAAAATCCTTTCAAATGATTACCTTTTCTATTTTTGGGGGATGTGAATTTGTTTTATTATAGAAAGCTTACTTTCAAGTTTAAAGGAACAACTGCATTTTCAATTTGTTTGCAGCTGTGTGTTTAATTTGTTATATGTGAAGTTTGTTGGCTTTGATGATACCGAGAGTGCAACAGTTTTTCATCTCTGTCCATTTGATTCATTGAAAGAAGTCAACCACGTTATTTGGTAAAAAAATATTGGTGAGAGTTTGCAATTTATCATATGTTTACATATTCTTATTAATTGTATTCTTAACAGGTTGGTGCACATGACAAGCTAGGAATGCAGTTAGTCCCTCTCAAGCTGCTTAAGCCGTACGAGAATAGAGAATTCACACTTGATTTACTCAAGGACTCTAATCTCAATGAAACTCCACACAAGAAGCCTAGAGGGAAAATTGTGGTGGACTTGACTTTTGTTCCTTTCAAAGAAGATAGTGGCAAGTTTGGTGGACCTTCGGACGGATACAGCCGAAACGAAAGTGGAATTGATCTTGTATCCGATGATGAGGTCCAAGAAGGAGCAGGTTTGCTTTCAGTAGTGATACAAGAGGCAGAAGAGGTTGAGGGGGACCATCACAACAACCCTTTTGCAGTGCTTACCTTTAGAGGTGAAAAGAAAAAGACAAAGGTAAACTTTTCATGTTCAGTGTAAATGCACAACATTTTATAGTTCTCTATCTCTATCATGCACATGAATCATGTTACATAGATGTGACTTATCACAATTGCATCATAAACTTTTCATGTTCAGGCAAGTTTTTTTATGTTTACTTGAAAGAAATCATCCCAGAATCTGAATTTATGCAGATGATGAAGAAAACTCGTCACCCACGTTGGAATGAAGAATTCCAATTCATGCTAGAGGAGCCTCCTCTACATGAGAAGATACACATTGAGGTTATGAGCAAGAGAAAGCACTTTAGTTTTCTGTCAAAGGTGCCATTTCATTTTTCTCATTCATTTTATAAGTCATATTTATGGAAATTTTAACTTTTGAGAAATTCAATTAATTGATGTAATAATATTGTTTTCATAATTCCAATGTGATGCTCATATTAGATCCTCTATGATATGCAGGACTCACTGGGGCATGTGGAGATTAACCTAAGTGATGTGGTGCACAATAGTCGCATTAATGATAAATACCATCTAATAAATTCAAGGAATGGAGTGATACATGTTGAGATAAGATGGAAGGTGGTTTAAGAAACCAAACTAATTTGTTAGAAGGTCTTTTCCAATAGGTGGGTTTAAATTCTAAACTGTTACGTGTTGATTTTCAAAGTGTATCTAAATAGAAGAGGCAATTTTAGGCAAACAACATCATTGAGATCTCTATAAGAAATTGTCTTTTCGAGCAACATTTTTTTGGCAATCCAAGCAAGTGTTGTGAAACTTTGTGGTAAAAAGATTCTTTCTAAAAATCTGAAGTCATAAATCTTTTTCTATTGTGGCAATATATTCATAATTATATATATATATATAAAATAAAATATCAATTCTTATATATTAAACACGAATCTTGCGCAAGAAAACTTTTAGGAGTTATATTCCGATAAGAGCCTTTTTAAAAATTCCTTTAACTTCTTATCTTATTTAATTTTTATTTATCATACTTATTTATAAATTAAAATTTATTATTTTTAAAACAAATTTAACAAAAAATATTTTAGAAATTGTTTTATCTTCTTATCAAATATAATTTTGTTTATTATCTAAATTATCAATAATTCAAAACACTAGATAATGATAAATTAAAATAATTATATGATTATTTTGTATTTAAAATACTTTGGTCTATCAAATCTAATTAAATTCTCTTAAAAGCCTAAAGTCTGACCTTTCTAGTTAGAAAGACTTTTTGAAAGTTTAAGAACTGAGTTTTTTAATAAATAGATTATGTCGAATGAGACTTTAAATAGGTTAGGTTGTGGATCTATGATATATTACTTAGCTTATTTCTATCCTTATGTATAATTTGATTTCTTATTTTTTTTTTTAACTTGAGATAATGAAAATTTTCAATTTATAAAATTGAAAAAATTAATTTACCATTAAAAAATTAACTAAAATATTCAAATTATTTCTTTCAACTAACTTTTTTTATAATAAATTAAATTAATTACATTGACTTTAACTTAAAAAAAACAAAACAAAAACAAAAAACAGAAAACAAAAAATTAACAGTCTCCACACCGAGTCTTTTAATATTGATTTTACTATAATTTAAAACAAATAAGATCTACTATGTTGAATGAATTTATATTTTCAAAATTAAGATATTTGATGAGTTTTTTAAGTTTTAAGTTATTTTACAATGATTGCACTCAAATTAGAACCTACAATGTCATGCTTACTACCTGTGTTAAGCTAATTCTAGTAATTATTTTTTTTAATTTTATGTAAAACAGTTAAATAATTTTTAGAAATAAAGGCAATACATCTTTCAGATATTCAACACCAATGAGTAAGCAATGAACTAAAATATATATATATATATATATATATATATATACTACTGCACCGATACCAGATCTAAATGAGAAACTTATTGTGTTTGGGCAAGTCATCAAGGGAGAGGATGTTGTTCAGGTGACTGAATTTTGCTTAATTCTCGATTGTTTGTCTGCAATATTGTGTGTGAAAATATGTTTGCCCTTTCCTTTTGTAGCTTATTTTGTCCTTTTCATTTTTCCATTTTCCATTACTTGAGAAGGCTTTCTGCTATTTTTTCATGTGATGACTGTTAAGGATTGTAATTGTTTAAAATTAATTCCAAGAAACAAAAATGTGTTGTGCAAAACCAATATTTGTAGATTTATCACCTTGCAGGTGTTATAATCAATTTTTAAAACTAGTTAAGGACAATAATGGTTGTAGAAGGTAGATTCCACGCAACTCTTGATGTCTGTATAAATGGAGTCAATATTCTGCGATTTGCTGTTGTGTTTGGAATGACAATACATCCAGCTGTTTGAATATCTGCTATATTACTTATGTTTCTTGTTTCGGTGAAATTATGGCTTTTAATAATTGCAAAATGTACAAAGTCAAGGAGTTTGATGATTAAGGTTGATATTGAATGTTATGTAATCCTGTGGCAGGAAATTGAAGAAGTGGATACAGATGAACATTACAAACCTAAAATATCTATTGGGATACTGGATGTGACTCTTAAACAGAAGGTCTGAAGGCTCTTTGCTAGATCAAGATCTTGATGAGCTGTGATATTTTGCAGATAACCTGTTTTGGTACACTGGTCATACCTTTTGTACAGGGATGAACCTTGAGAGTTTCACCTAGCGTGCATCTATCAAGTGTCCGAGGCATCATGTTGTTTTTGCTATTGAATTTTTAGTTAACACCAGGATTATGCAATCTCCTTTTCTTAACTTCTGTCTTTTGACTTTTTCTTTGAAAAAATTGGGGGGGTTAGATTTATAGGCAGGGGTTTTCATTTTGCTTGTAAGGTTTGGTAATATCACATTTTTCATTTTCATTTTGGCATTACTCTTCATTTGTAACCTCAGAGAGATCACATGATCACTTCCCTATGCTGTTCACATTTCATGTGTGTTGTGTTTCCATTGATTGATATGGCCAATTTGTTGGTCACTCAGAATGGTAAGCTTTGTAAGTCACATTTCAATTTGGTTATAAAAGCCATACTTGTTTAATTACATTAACTGGGGGAGACTAATTTTTGATGATAAGTGATAACGGCAATTTATCCTTTTGTTAAGGTTCTAAGTTTCGCCACTCAAGTTAAACATTCAATATTTTGGTAGGATCTAGTCTTAGGAAAAGAACCCTAGGTTTTTTGTGCAATTAGTATGACATACCAATGCCATTATCAGTCTTTTGGAAAATATGGAGTATACAGTTGGAATATGCTGACAAAACAACGTCTGAACCTTGTTTGGTTATAAATGTTGTATCTTTCTACTTTACCCATAGTTTGACTATCTTGTTAAAGCTACTTTTTTTTTTGTAGTGGGCCAACTCCAAAAGATGACGAAATATTATTTTAAGCAACAATGGAACTATGGAAGATTAATGATTGGTGAAAATTCTTGAAGGTAGTACGGTAACATATGTGCCATATTAATTCATGTAGTTAGTAAAGGAGTGGGCCAATTAGGAAGTAATATCTAAAGGTAAAGTAAAAAAATGCAATGGCTTCATCGTGCCAAACTAACTATGGGCCTTAGAACAGCTAAAATATCATGTTGATACTTGTCAAAAATTCAAATTTATTTAATGTATATTTTTAAAGAAATTAAAAGTACTTCAAAAAATGCCTTTCATAAATGCTAACAAATTTTCTTACGACAATAAAAAATTAAATAAGAAAGAATGATTGAAAATAAAAATATTAATTATATTAAAAAAAAATATAAGAGTAAATTACACCACATTCTTTGAAATTTCGTGAACTTATAAACTTGTATCGACATTATTTTTGTATCATTTATAGTTTACTTACGTTTAAAGGGGGTTGGATGTTGGAAGAGAGGGTTTGCACGTTCTTTCGAGGATGGTGATTCCCTTATAGTGTGTTTTGATGGAGAATTTAAATAGAGTAATTCATTTATTTGAAGAATTTTAAATTTTTTGAGGTGAAATACCTTGTTTGGATAGAGAATTTATAAGGAATTTGAAATTCAAGTATTTGTGAAATTTCTTGAAATAGTAAAATTTCAAATTCTCCCAAAAAAGTAAAAATTTAAAATTTTTCATATTTATTTTTCTTATTTCACTTATATATATATTTTATCTTATCTCTTATCTCTTCATTCTTTTAATTATTGAATATTTAAAAATATTTTTAAAATTATTAAATATTATCTAATATTAATTTTTAAAATTATTAAATATTTAAAAAATAACTAATATTTATTTTTATAAAATTTAATTTAAAAATCTTAACATATAAATATATTTTTAAAATCAATTTTACCATAGTGGAATCGAATTACCATATCTAACCCAACAATTTAAAATTTGAGAAATTTGAATTGACTTATCCAAACAAAATATTTTAAGAATGATAGAAATTGAAATCAAAGTAATTCAAATACTAAGAATTTTAAATTCCTTGAATTTGTAAAATTCCTCATCCAAACATACCATTAGAGCAAAGATTCTTGCAGTAGCAGAATGACTATCTTTCTATTGGGATGCAGAGTTTAGATATATAATTTGTGAATCAGATTGTATAAGGGCAGTGAAAGTAGTACAAGGACCTAGCCTAGAAAGAGATAATATTCATAAGCATAGCGACATCATTGGTGCAACTATTCCTCAAGAGATTAATTCAGTAGCTTACGTTATTACGAGTTGAGGAGCAAAAAATTCAATTATTAATGTAACATGGAGGAGTCCTCCATATTTTGTTTTACAAGTCATAGGGAAAAACATCTGTTCCCTTATGTAATTTCCCTTTTTTTGTTTTTTTTTTATTTTGTTTTTAATTTCTCACAACATAAAAAAAAGGGGTCGTAGTGTAGTTATTTAGTTAATGTAACATTTAAAAGGTGTTGTGTAATATTTTTGTAAACAATTAAGAGATTATTATGAGTGTAAAAAAAGTAAAAAGTATTTACACAATTTTAATAAAATTCAGTAAGTATTGTAACGACCCGGCTGGTCACTACACACTACACCGTACCCGCAGCCAACTCTAGATCATGCGTAGGATAATTCCATTCATGGGTCTTCAATTGTCTAGATGCATAGGCCACAACTCGCCTATCTTGCATAAGAACACATCCTAAGCCTTGATGAGATGCATCACAATAAACTTCAAAAGATTTATTGGGATCTGGCAGAATGAACGCAGGAGATGACGTCAACTTTTCCTTTAACTCTTGAAAACTCTTCTCACACTCCTCCGTCCATACAAAAGGATGATCCTTCCTGGTCAGTTGTGTCAAAGGCATAACTATTTTAGAAAACCCTTCTATGACACATTAGCCATTGTATGCGGTGTCGCTAAAACATTTAGCGGCAATTATTCTAAATGCTGGTAAAAACCTTATAATGATCGAAAAAAGTGTATAACTTTTTGTGATATTTTGTACTTTCTAGTCGATGTGGGACTTGTAAGATAAGTACAAATACTCTTTAGTTACTTTATCTTTAGTCGATGTGAGACTTGTAAGATGAAGATTTTCTTTTCTTATTTTTTTAATTACCTTATTTCTAGTTGATGTGAGACTTATAAAAATGAAGATTGTCTTCTACTTATATATATATATATATATTTAATTTTCTTATTTTTTTTTAATTATCTTATCAATAGTCAATTTCCTTAAGTTTATAGAACTATTGAGTTTGAAATAGTGAGTAATCTCATACCAACTTAGGATAGTTAGTTATAGGTTTAACTCAACCCTACAAAACACACTTATAAGGTGAGAGTTATCATCCATATATATACTCATTAATTATCTTATTTCTAGTCAATGTGAGACTAAAGTTTTTCTTAATATAATTGTCGTTAATAGTAAATTTTGGTGCGATATAAATATATTTTTAGTGGCCATTATATATTAATCATTAATACTTTTATTAAATAATAAAATAAAGATAATTAATTTATTGTCGTTAAATAATTGTCGGTAAAAATAAGTTTTATTGTAATATATATATATATATATATCTATCTACTACTCCTCTGTTCAGGTTCTAAAATTGTGGGAAATAGTGTGAAAATGTTGCAAATCTGGTGCAATTTTGGTGCGCGTGAATAGTGCTAAATAGTAGCTGAATTTTCCAATTAATTGTGATTTTTGGTTTTGATAGCTAGACTTGTTATTTTTGCCTCAAATTTTATGTGATAACTTCTTTCAACCCATATTTTGTGTGAAAAATACCAGAGGCCCAAAAGGTGGTCCAGATTTGAAGATACAAAATTTTGTGAAGCTATATTTTTCCAAAACTTCAAATGACCATAACTTTTGCTCTGGTTATCAGAATTGGGCAAACTGTTTTTTCAAATTGTGTAGAAAAATGAGATCTATCAAACTCAGACAGCTTAGCTATCTAGCCCCAGCTAGATTTTCAAAACAAGGTCATTTTCTATTTTTTTCTAATTTTGAAGTTTTATTTCCTTGTTTTTCCAAACTTTTCATAGGTGGTTCATATAGTTAGGGTGTGAATTTTTCTTTGAATTTTTTTGTGGTAGTTTCTAATGATTTTAGGATGATATTGGTGCATTGGTTTTGATGGTTTACAAGTTTGCATTAAAATTCCCTTTTTGCCCCTACTGTTCACGTGGTAGTTGCATGTGATTGCATGTAGTGCATGACTAGGAATAATACAGGCATTTTGCATCCATTTGATCCTGAAATAGATAGGACCTTCCTTATATTAGTTAGAGAGCATATAGTCCCACCTTTTGAGAGTGATAGCCATAGTGTAAGTGTAGCATCTAAAGTTGACTCAACTGAAAACATGGGTGACCAACCTGCACCTCGAGAGAGGACCCTTAGGGAGATGGCTGCACCTGAATTCACTTATGAGAGTTTATGAATTCAATACCCTGAGGAAGATGTTCCTTTTGTGCTTAAAACTGGATTGATATCCATTTGTTGCCTAAGTTTCATGGTCGTGCAGGTGAGGATCCACACAAGCATCTCAAGGAGTTCCACATAGTTTGTTCCACCATGAGGCCACATAATGTCCCTGAAGATCACATCTACCTGAAGGCATTCCCTTTTTCATTGGAGGATCTTGCCAAGGATTGGTTGTACTATCTGGCTCCTGGTTTTCCAAGCTTCCGGGAAGGAGAAAGGAGAAAACGAATGGAGAAAATGATGAACGGAGGAGGAAGAGTCCGCGCTTCAGCTTCATTCCCGCACCTTTACACAGCTCCTACGGCTACCAAGATAAAAGAATGAACAAGTCCAAGTGAGTGGGAGAGAAAGAATGAGAGGAAGAAGGAAGGCTACTAGTGAAATGTTGAGAGGGAGAGAGGAGAAAGACCGAGGGTCTCACAAGTATCAGTATAAATCACTCAAAATATAAAACTTGTTTAATACTTGAATTGAAAATAATTTAAAGGAATTCAATAAATATATTTAGTATTTATTTACTAATTCTCGATGATGCTTGCTCTTGTTCGGACCGTTGGAACTATGTGTTTGGCGTAAACTATGTGTTATGGTCCATCTGGCAGGCTAGAAATGCCCTGGTTTCACAAACCAAACATGGAATTGGGTCAACTGCTTTCAATTCTGGACCTATGGTGGACCATCCACTCTTTTGTTACTAAACTACAATTGGGTTGTCAAAAATGTTACCAAAACAGTTATGGCCCATTATTTGGGCTGGACAAATAGAATATGGGCCTTGAGATCTGTCGTTTGGAATCTGCATTGGTCCACCTATCACTACTTAATGGGAACTGAACTTTCTTTTCAATGGACTAGACATACACCCAAAAAAAAATAAAAAATTCTTTATCTATATTTTTGGTATTTTTTTCTTTCTCTTTCTGTGAGATGGCAAGACAGATGACCCTGAAAAAAAAAATACCAAAAGGGAAAAGCCAAATTATATTAAAAGTTACATGAATAACTTTGGTTATTTCTTTTTAGGTAGATTTTGTGAAAAGTTGTATTATCAATATAAGATAGAAATACTTGGTATCCAATTTCGACCCTTTTCTTTGTCAAAGGCT